AGTGTGAAGGATGGGAAGCTGTAGCTAGAGTGTTTGTAGTAGGGTGGTAGTAGGGTGGAAACTAGCTGGTTACTTCCCAGTGCAATACCATTTCTGGAAGAGGTGCTGTATGGCTCGACAACCAGTCTTTCAAGGATTCCTTTTTGCTGTACGTATCACAAGAAGAAAGATCTGTCCTCCTGAAGTCTTTGGAGGACTTTAATTCAGTGGACACAGATGAATTGTTGGATGTACTTGATGCACATGAATGCAAGTGTAACCCTTATAGCTTATTGCACCACATTCACATACTGATTTTCTTTATCAGCAACTTGAGGCAATACATCAACAGCAAGCCAGACAAGTGGAGTTTCAAGTTGTTTGCCAGGGCATCTGAGGATGGCTTCATCCATGACATGGTGCTATACTATGGCAAGACTACCCTGGAGGCCCATGATGTTCCCCTGAAACCTGAACAAGAAGGCTTAGGTGCCACCAGCCAGATTGTATCTGTCCTTGCCAGTACCATGTCCTTCCCCACTACCACAGCCATCTTTGCTGATAGCTTTTTCACCAGCCTGGAGCTAGTGCGGTACCTCCAAGACCACAACTGTAGGTACACAGGGACAGCCAGGGACAACAGAATTGGAAAGCCTCAACTCGGGACAATCAAGGAGATGGAGAAAAAGGCTGTCCCTCGTGGTACCTGTTACTACGTCACCAGTGATGATGGGATACTGGCTGTCAGGTGGAAGGACAACAAAACGGTCATTCTTCTGTCAACCGACATGGGGGAGGGGCCGATGTCCACAGTCCTCAAGTACTGCAGTGAGAGTAAGAAGAGGGAGCCTGTGGGCTGTCCAGCTGTCACGAGGAGTTATAAAGCCAATCTGGGGGGCATTGATAAGAGTCATCAGGTACTCCCCATGAAGTCAAATAGGAGGTACCTGCGACTGTTTGCGTACGTCATTGATGTCAGCCTCACAAATGCCTGGGTGGTGTACAAGCGGGACTGCAAGGCCCTTGGTGTGAAATGCCAGCCTCTGAAAGATTTCAAACTCTAGGTGTTCAGGGATGCCAGCAACCAGAGGCCAGTCACGCCTAGCTCCAGAAGAAGCTCATCTTCCTCTGTTGAATGCCTGACCTTCAGTGCTGATGTCCCTTAGCCTGTCCGGGGACACTGCAGCCCCACCCCACATGTGGCTGTGCGGTTTGATATGTCCCTCTTCCATGCCCCTATACATGGCGAATGTCAGACCTGCAAGCACTGCAGCAGGAAAGGCAACATTATGAGGTCAAATGTGCAGGCTCTGCAAGGTGCACCTCTGCATGAACAGTGAACGTAACTGCTTTGTCAAGTACCATGGAGAAGTGTCCTAATGTCTCATAGCTGGATGGACAAACAGAGGCAGCTACAGACAGAGACAAACACAGACAGTGTTCCTCAAAGCCTCACACACAGGTGTGTGAGGGTCTGTTAAGCACCTTTGTTATCAGCACGTTTTGTTATTAGAGCTTTTATGTTCTACAAGTGATGTTCAAATGTTCAAATATATGTTTTTCCGGTATTTTTTATCTATGTATCCTTATTGGAAGTTGTTTTCCCACATAGAGGCAAGTAACTAAAAATGATAACTTCATTGGCCTTGATATTTTTACCACTCAAGGGCAAGTTACCAAATATGGTAACTTCATTGACCTCGGTTTTCTACATGAAAATAAAATATTTGAAAAATGTCACATATATAAGAAAGTCATATTATGTTGTCCAATAACATTCTAAGGTTGAATTTTTTTATTTTAAAGTATTTAATTGAATGGGCACTCAATGAACATTTTTTAACCTTTTTGGTTGTTGGATCCAGCATGGGTTATTTATTTTTGTTAATGGTCTGAATTTAAATTTCATGGTATACTGCCTGTTCTATGCAGCTGCGCAGATTTTGATCTGCATTGGTCTCTCATATCATTGCTGCACTTGTTGTTAAGAGTGAATTTATTTAATCTGTATTGCTGTTTCATATTATACATTTCTGATTGGACAATAGTTTTAGAAGTACATAGTATAGTATGATAAGCTTGTATTTTTGTTACACAAGGCCAAGGCCAGACTTAAAACAGAATTGTCTCTGATCTATGATAACGTGGAGTTCCACAGTTGCACTGGTTCACTGGCTCTCTATCAGGTTTTGATGGAAAACAACCTTCAAGACACATTCACCAAAACTGTACGAAACTGACAACATCAGAATCAGAGAGGTGTTTCTCTACTTTAAAAAGGATTAAGACTTTCCTTAGAAACACTATGGCACAAGATCGGCTCAATGCTCTGGCTATTCTCTCCATAGAGAAAAAACTGATACGGGACATTCCTGATTTCAACACAAGGGTCATTGAGAAATTTGCCACATAGAAAGACAGACGAGCAAAGTTCTTGTACAAATAAGAGCCCTCCACCCCATTCACTCTTACTTAATTTACACTCTCACACACACATACAGAGAGAAAGAGACACACATTTTGTCATGTGGTGAGTGAGTTTGAAGGATAGTCTATTTGTTTTGAAGAGAGGGAAAGGATT